ACTCACTGTGTGACAGAACATCTTCAGTATCTTGAAAGCTCAGGACCTTCCTTCTATTTGTACTCAAAGAAAAAGAACTGCTTTTTAAACAAACACACAGAAAAGCACGCCTACAAAACTATGTTCTTAAAACCAAAACCCAGGCAAATCCTCTGAACACCCACCTATCAGTGACAAGAAAACGTATCCCTGGGTCATTAGTAGAAGAGAGGAAGTCAAAGCACCGGAACAAAAACAGAAGGTTCTGCTAGTACTGATATCACCTGACCTTAAGGGAATAGAACTTTGATGATGACTATAATGAAACACAATACCCACTAGGAAAGAATAATTTGGCACATATTTTACATGTAGAAATGTAAAAACAAACCTGAATGTACTGAAGAGCAGACATTCTGAGCTGCAGAGCTCCACAGCACAGATAGAGACAGAAGGCAAATGACTCTAAGGTGTAGTAAGGTGAACTGAGGCAGGCAACAGCTGAAAACCATTATGGACTACAGCCCACAACTGTTCTTTGATTAAGAATTGCTCAGGCACTGCTCTATTGATTGCAATCAGGTTAACCCTGCTCCAGTAACTCTTCGTGATCATGACCAATTTTCCTTTGAGCTTGCTCATTTCATTTTAATAAAGATGTCAGTTTACATGCAATACTGCTCCACAGGGGAATCCTGCATGCTGAGAGCCAAAGCTGGAAGCTATGAAAAAGTTTTTCCTGAGGTCATATGGGATCCATGTCCAAGACTTTCTCTTTAGCTGGTGCTTGGAAAGCAGCTGTTTGCAGACCTGATGCCTCAGCTTCCTTCTGCAAAACTCACAACACACAGCTGCAAAAATTTTTGTAAGATACATGAAGAGAGATTTCAACTTATATTTTCAAGTAGAATCACTGCATAAAGAAGATAGACATGATTTGGAAGTCCACGTGCATCCAGATGCTGGCCAGGACCACGTGACTTTCATTACTTATTTACACAGCAAGAAGAGCTTAGGCCAAAGCCTTTGTCTTTTCATTGAAAACTTCACATACAGGGAAGTGCCTGTTGCAAATACTGTCTTCCGAGCATATCCTGGTGTCAAAGCACACGCATGTGAGAGCAGGTTAAGGTACCTTAGTAATCCACCTGCCTTGCTGAGGAAACTGAATGCTTTCCCAGTGCTGCAGCAGCTGCTACTGTAGCATTAAAGTAAATTGAATGCCATCTCCTTGAGCAGCAGCAAAAAAAGAGCTTTGGGCTCTATGAACAAGCTGAAGGAGCTAAGCAGATGTCAGCTACTTTCCTTTCTGCATCCAGTTCTGGGTGAGAAGCCATGAAGCACATACTGCTAGTGACCGTCTGCAGGGATGGCTCTTGAAGAAGCAATGAGAGCAACTGAATAATATTGCAAATTGTACTTGTCTGGGTTCCTGCAGGGTCAGCAGGCTTACAAGTTCCCTTTTCACATTCACAGAAGAGGAACCTTTGCAACTCCTTGACAGCAGCCAGAGGTAAAATCAGTGTGCCTACAGAGCAAAGTGTCTCTCAGTACATAGAAGCTGTGAAGCACAAACCCACAAATATTAGAAACTACAGGCAGAGCACATACTGGACAAAAACTGACAGGCATGAGCACAGCTAAACGGAGGGCAGTGGGGAAAAGGAAGAAAATAAATAGGAAATACCATACTCAAAAAATTCAGCATGAACTGAGAAAATCAAAATGAGAAAAAAAAAAAGTCTGAACCCACTTGGATTTGAACTGCTGAAGCCTTCTGGCTATTCTGCTGCTATGTTGCTATGCTTAATTTGTCCCGCTGGATTTGCACCTCCTGTGAGTCACTGAGAGGAGCCATTGACTCTGGAAGAACTGATTTAGTGCAGCAGGAACCAGCGGCCTGGCAGGAGCAGTAGGAGAGGCCCAAGCAAAGGTAGGTAAACATTAGGAGAGGAAAGGTCGTCAGGAAAAAGCCTGGAACAGGGAAAAGGAGAAGAAAGAGGAAGAGAGATGGAAGAAATGCCTAGTAAAGGATGGGCAAAGGAAAGAGAGAATGGGAAAGAGGAAATTACAGACAGTACAGAAGCAAGGGTTGGATGTCGGTTTTGGTAAGAACTTTCCCAGAAATCATGTGACTGTAAAGTTCTGATGTTCTCTACCTCAGACCAGATGCCTGCTGCCACTGGGCACACTGCTGTGTGGAGGGCTGCTGTCCCATACAGTGCCTGCACCTCTCCAGAGTCCCTGCACACGGCCATGGAACGATGACCTTGGGTGGAGGAAGAGAAACTGTGTTTTTCATGAGGGTTTCTTCTTGATTTGTCTCTCCAGAAACTTCTTTCTCGGGGGAAATAAAGGCCTGTGGAAATGATGGTATATACCTAGTAAACTTGCAATACCTGGTGCATTAACCAATTGTTCCGAACTCCTGCTTAACCATGCTCTCAGCCCACCTCACCTTACCAACAGCTATTGCTGCCTATGGCACACAAGTTGGGAGACAGAAAGATGCTCTTCATTACACAGAGCTGGGAATATTTCCCAGTTTCCTTAGGACAGCAAAAGTCTGAAACTTGATGTTACGCTTAACAAAGCCTGTGAAAGATGATCCCAGCCTTTTCCTGTCTCCCGATGTACACCTGCAGGCACAGTCGCAGCCTGAGATGTAAACACCAGGTCACAGTTTGTGACAGGGAACTGTGTGCAATGGAAGTGTATGAAAGGTTCATGGTCCAACCTCAAACGTTGTCAGCTGCTTGAAATTCAGGACAGATTTGTCAAAAGGCACTTCAAAGCTTTCCAAGTGACCTCTTTTTTTTTGAGCAAATGCAAGCTCGTTTACAGTTTCCCATCAGAGTCGTGTGGATGTGTGGTAAGACATGAAACAAACTGAGAAAAGCGCCATTCATTGGCTTTCCTGTGGCATTTGCTGAATGTTGTGAAAGCCACAGATCAAAGCAGAATGCTTGATGCATGTCCTTAAATTAGATGTAATTAAATAGATGAGTGTTTGCATAAATCCCTGAAAAGCAAAACGGTCCAATTTAACCACACGCTGGTGCAGCAGCTCTTCTCACTTCAATGTTTTCAAAGTTTTCAGTAACAAAAACGCACTGAATGACAATGTTGTTCCATCTGATCACAAAGCTGCCCTGTAGAGTCACTTTGAACAAAAAGCACCTGCAGGGTGTTCCACCTGAAAGGCAACGTTAGGCCGTTAGAAAAGAGCCGTGCTCAGAAAGCAGCCGCAGGAGCCAGGGAAGCGCAGGCTCCAAGATAGGGACCGAGCGTCGCTCCTCCTCCTCGCAACTGGAGCTGAGGGCTGGGAATGGCAGCGGGTACCAACATCACTGGTAGCCTCCTCAGCTGCCGGTGGGCTCCGTCTAACTTAACGAACGCGACCAATGACTCCTGCCGCCTGCAGTGGCACCGCACGGCACCCTCAGGAGAGCGTAACTAAGGACGGAATTTCCCTCTCCAGCCGGGTCTGGAGACGCGCGCCTGCCGCGGAACCGCCACCACTTCGGGCCTCAGGCTTCTCCCCCACGTGTGTGCGGCCGTACGGGCGGAGGGGCCGCTCCGCTCCGGGGATGCGGCCGCACGTCGGGGCCGAACGGAGCGCTGCGTGCCCGCAGGCGGCCGCCGTCGGGGCTCCGCCAGTCGCAGGGCCCCCACCGCATCGTGCCCCTTCTCTCGTCCCCGCGCCGCGCCGGCAGCCCGCGTCACCCACCAACGCCGAGCCCGGCGCAGAACTGCAGGGCAGCAACAGCCTCTTTTCTGCGGCGGGGTCCAACGAGGCCGTCGGTGCTAAAACACAAAAGCGAACAAACAGCGCGCACCTCCCCGACCCCGACTTACCAAGCCGTGCGCGTCCCGTTCGTCGCCGTGACGCCGTCCCCCAGCGGACAGCAGCCGGCCGCCCGTGTGCCCGCAGCCGTGCCCGCCCGCGGGGCCGCGCCGCCAGGGGACAGGCAGTGCCCGCAGCCCGCCCTCCCCACCCCTCCGCTGCGCGGGGCTCTTCTGCGCGCCTCCACCTCCATCCTCGAAAGCAACCGAAAAGGAAGAAAAAAACCTCCCCCGTAGCCCACCCCAAACCGGTGTAAAGAACGGGTCTCGCTTGTAAGGAATCCCTGCGATGGGGACTCGCGGTCACGCCGCTGGAGCGCGGACGGAGCTCCGCTTTTCGCAGTACCCGCGGCGGGGTAACGCCAGTTGGCTGCTCCGGCGCTGCGCTCCTAAATCATGATGGACAGATTGCGTGAAAAGCAGGAATTCCAGAGAATTTCCTGCCCTGGGAACGGCAGCGAGGGCTATATTTAACAGCATCTGAAGCTGTCAAGAATGCTTTGCGGTTGGATAACAGAGCAGAAAAATGTGAAAAATGCGGGCTACTGCTATACCAAATATGGAAATATTGTTACGTCTGGTGGCTGAATCCCCATCTGGAAGCACTTACGGCCACGCAGAGAAAGGGCGCCACAACAGAAGCCCAAACGCTCCTTCCCGGCCCCAGCCCCGAACCTCCACCGGGAAACCGGTACCGGGAGCGCGTCCTCCCGAGGGGGGCAGCACGGGGGCACCGCAGCCAGCGGCCGTCTCGGCGGGACCCGTCCCGCTCGGCGCCCGCAGCTCCGGTCCCGGGGCCCGATCCAGCGGCGCCCCCGCGCAGCGCTCGCCCCCACGGACGCCCGAGTAACGGGATCGCGTCCGCGGCGGTGCCGGCGGTGCCGGAGGGTCTCGGAGAGGCCCTCCGGGCAGCCCCCAGCCCCGCAAAGCGGCGCGGTGCCCGGACCGGGCGGGCGCGGTGACCCCCCGCGGCAGAGCCGCCGCCAGCGGCCGCGGTGCCGGGAGACGGGGCGGGGCGGAGCGGCCGCGCCGCGCGCCAGCCGCATTCCTGGGATGCCGCGAGCGCTGGACGCGGCCGCGGCCCGGAACGCGCGACGTCAGCGCCGAGGCGCACGCGGCGGCCCCGCGACCCATAAAAGGCGGTCGCGCCCGCCGCTGCCTCAGACCGCGCCGGCCCCGCTTCGCGATTGCATCTCGAGCTGCGCTCTCGCTCCGCGCCGCTAAGACATGGGCTCCGTAGGAGCTCGCCCCGCTCTGGCGGCCGCCCTGCTCTGCCTGGCCCGCCTGGTAAGTGCCGCCCTCGAGGCTTTACGGGAGGGCTGGGGATAACGGATCGGCGGTGCCGGCGCTCACCGCTCCTCTCTGCTCGCCCCGCAGGCTCTCGGCTCTCTGTGCCCCACCGTCTGCCAGTGCCCGGCCGCCGCGCCGCAGTGCGCCCCGGGCGTGGGTCTGGTGCCGGACGGCTGCGGCTGCTGCAAGGTCTGCGCCAAGCAGCTGAACGAGGACTGTAGCCGGACGCAGCCCTGCGACCACACTAAGGGGCTGGAGTGCAACTTCGGCGCCAGCCCCGCAGCCACCAAGGGCATCTGCAGAGGTAAGAGCTGCCCGCAGCACGGTGCGGAGTGCCGGAGTTTAGTAACTTTGAGTCCATGTATGGTTATGCTTTGTTGTTGGTAGCTTGGCAGAAAGGCACATGACTTCAGCAGTCTGGAATGCGATTCAGTATGTCTGGGCTCCGCTAAAAGCACATAAGGAAAAGTGATTCCTGACTAACTTATTGTTCTAGCCCCGCGTCTCCGGGGGACTGTAGGGAACTTTACCATAAACCGAATTTAACAGAGCAGCAAAATATGTGTCTTTAAACGACCGATTCCCGGCGCTGACACCCTCTTCTCTCTCTTTTGCTCTCTGCAGCACAGTCTGAGGGGAGACCGTGCGAATACAACTCCAAAATCTACCAGAACGGCGAAAGCTTCCAGCCCAACTGCAAGCACCAGTGTACGTGCATAGATGGAGCTGTGGGCTGCATCCCGCTCTGCCCGCAGGAGCTCTCCCTCCCCAACCTGGGCTGCCCCAGCCCCAGGCTGGTCAAAGTGCCTGGGCAGTGCTGCGAGGAGTGGGTCTGCGATGAGAGCAAGGATGCGCTGGAGGAGCTGGAGGGCTTCTTCAGCAAGGAGTTTGGTCTGGACGCTTCTGAGGGTGAACTGACCAGGAACAACGAGCTGATTGCCATTGTGAAGGGAGGCCTGAAGATGCTACCTGGTGAGTGTGTGCTGATCCGTGTGACGGCAGAAGCTGAGGTGGGAGGGAAGCTGTGTGACTCTTCAGATTGATGGAAAGAAACTCAGGCAGAAGGCAGAGGTAGTCTAAGCCCCCCTTTTCTTTTCCAGTTTTTGGATCTGAGCCACAAAGCCGAGCTTTTGAGAACCCCAAATGCATTGTGCAAACAACTTCCTGGTCCCAGTGCTCAAAGACGTGTGGGACCGGCATCTCCACCAGAGTCACCAATGACAATCCCGACTGCAAGCTCATCAAGGAGACCAGGATATGTGAAGTGAGGCCATGTGGCCAGCCCAGCTACGCCTCCCTAAAGGTAAATACAAACACCTCTGGTGCTCCTTTTCTTTCCAAACTGGTTCAAGTAGAGGGTAAAGGCAGGACAAGGATCTCCCACTAATGATGTCATTGTCTTTTCTTTACAGAAAGGAAAAAAATGTACCAAGACTAAGAAGTCCCCATCCCCCGTAAGGTTTACTTATGCTGGATGCTCCAGTGTGAAGAAGTACCGCCCCAAGTACTGTGGGTCTTGTGTGGATGGCAGGTGCTGTACTCCCCAGCAGACCAGGACTGTCAAGATCCGGTTCCGCTGCGATGATGGAGAAACCTTCACCAAGAGTGTCATGATGATCCAGTCCTGCCGCTGCAACTACAACTGTCCGCATGCAAACGAAGCTTATCCCTTCTACAGACTGGTCAATGACATCCACAAATTTAGGGACTAAGTAGTATTTGGGGTGGGATGTTAAACAGAATTCTGAAGTAACCAGCCATGGAGAAAGGACCTCTGATGGAAGTGGTGCCTTGCCCATTCGAGGGCAGTATGAGATATTACAAGAGTGCACTGTGCAAATGGACACTAATGCAACAGAGATTTAAGCATAGTTAAAGCTTCATAGTACTGGAGCAACTTTACTGCTTCTTTTTGGAGCACCTTTATCTTATACTGTTTTCTGTTTGTAAGTGATCTGATGTTTTATTCCGGTTATGAAAACTTTTCCTTTCCTGTTCAGTTTAACACTATGCTTTTCCCCTCCCCTCCATCTTCTCCCCTACTTTCCCAACCAAGTTGGAAGTTACATTCCTTCCTGAGGTGGGCACTTGTGGGGTGTTCACAGTGGCAGCTATTATGTACCAACTGTAGTTTAATGGCAAACAGAAATCAGTTGTTTTAAAGCTGAGTATTTTATTTATCAAACTGTAGCTCTTGTTTTCTTTTTTTTTTTTTTTTTTTTTTTTAACCCCTTCGAACCCCTGTAATACTGGAATAAGTTGTAAATGATTTTAATTTTATATTCAATGAATTAAAAGAATTTATTTATGGAATTAATCATTTAATAAAGAAATATTTACCTAACTATTCTTAGTAGAGAGCATCTTGAAAGGCAACAGACTTCAGCTCCTTTCCAGGACCACTTTGAATCGTCTGGAAACCAAAACAGGCTCCACCCCAGGTACAGCAATGAATGAGTAAGCTGAGTCTTCGGGTAAACGGTATTTTGAAGTGGTATATGCAATCTGTCACCCTGTGCACTAGAAAGTGTATACAGAGAAAGCTTCCTGGCACTGAAAGCAAACGTTTGGAAGAGAGACTGAAATGTTAATTAGTCTGTCAGATTATTCAAACTGTCCTGGAATTTGCAACATAAGGCACTTCATTAGAATGCAGTGTGTGCACAGTGATGTTGAGCACTGGGGTGGAAGCGGTGGGCAGGTCTCACATTTTTGGTGGCTGCTTTCTGCAAATTAATGGAGTTCAGTGGAAGAAGAATGTTTCCTACAGTCTGCAGGAGGTAGTTGGCTTTCACTAAATTCAAATTAAATGAGCTTGAAGCAATGACTTTTGTTAATCCTAATAACCCAGTGATGAAAAGTAAACATACTGTTAACAGGAGAAGAATGTGAGGAATTTCAAGTACTTTTCCAATAGAGTAAAAGGCAAAGCAGCCAATCTTCTCCCTTCTCCGCCTTCCCTTCCCACTTATTAAATATGTAACTACACTTCAGGGATGGGGATGACATTTAGTGAACCAAGGGAGTCCTAAGATAGCTAGCTGGCGTGCATTAACAAAGTGACATTTAAAAATAATCTACAGCAGGAACTGAGAAAGCTGTGTGAACCATTTGTGCTATGCTGGTTAGCATAAAGCTGTACTACAGATAAGACCGAAAGGAAACCTGCAGCACCATTTTTTCCTCCTCATCATCAGTCTTCTGGCATAAGCCTTTCCTGTGGCCTTTACTAAGGAAAGCACTTCTATAAAGCAGCAACTGATGGTGTGGTTTTGGAATTGTGAAGCACTGCCATCCACTGCTGTGCAGTTAGATGTGTAAGTGGTTAAGAGTTCACTTCTCATTTGATTAGGCATAAATACTTCAATAAAATAAATGGCCAAATATCTCGCTGGCAGTTAATGCTTTGCCTGAAAAAATTACAGCTGTCTCTCTTCTGCTCAGTCAAGTTTTCTCCCCGGAGGCGTTCACAGCTTCAGCTGTTTTGGAATTTACCACCTGGCCACCAGTCTTAGCTGCACCTAAACCTGTCTGTACAATACTTGTTGACAGCAAGAGCGTAAAACACAGTGAAGTGCTTTTGTTTTTTTGGTAACATCTGGCACTGAACACTTCCTTACATCACCTTACGCTGAGAAATCACATTTACTCACAGGGCTACTGTATGGATAGAAGAGTGTGTTATGTGCAGACACAGTGCTGCCTGCCCAGCCTGGGCCACCTCCACCTACAGGTACACCTGTGTAACACCTACCTTCAAAATGACCTAATGCAGCTCTCCTACAAATGACACACAGCTATAACTACACTGTGCTACATGCACAGGTTGTTTGCCTAAACACGCACGTACACAAGCACCCATGGCCCCTCCTACTCCCATCTGGTATGCGGTTACAGGTGCAGGCCTGAGGTTTTGCAGCCTATGTGCTGGGCTTTCCGTGTCCCATCAGGCAGAGAGGTGCATCTGTCATCTCTGCTCAAAGAAGAGTTCTGGTGGGAGAGTAAGGGCTGCACGAGCAGGACATGCAGATTTTGGAGTAATGTGTACTAAATAAAATTGCACTGTTATAAAGAGAGGAAAATGAACTACAAATCTTCCAGAGTTGTTCCTCACCAGCTGCTCATCAACAACATTCTCTTTTCATTTGTTGTATTTCAGTTACACAGCAAAATGACAAGCCCACAACTCCCAGTATGGTGTAAGGAGTCAGCAGAGTCAACACCTCTGCACGTGCTTTGAAACATCCCTGCTGTTCCAACACTAGATATTGCCACGAAAATATCCATGATAAAAAGAGGAGTTCCTTCAGGTGTAAGCAGGAGGGCTTACAGGTAGGATAAACGAGCACAGATATGATTTTACATCTTGGTCAAAATCTAAGATATCCAAATCCTTCCTTCATAATGAATACTAACAGAACTGCAAAGAAGGCACGAGGAACATGACCAAAGAACAGAAGCTGTAAGCATTCAGTAAACGCTGCTTGTCACGGCTGCTCCGGCCAGCAGCCCCCGGCCAGCAGCCCCGCGGAGGGAGGACGGGGTCACCCGAGGATGGAGCGTGGCACGGCGCTTTGCCGAGGCTGCTGCTGCCGCCACAAGGAACTCCTGTCGAACTGCACCGTTAGGACTGTCGGAGGTCTCTCCTATCCAATGCAGTCACTTACAAGGGCCCGATGGTGGTTCCTGCTGTACTATCAGGGCTACGTGTAATATATACACACGCTCCCTACTGAAGAAGGCAACACAGTGAAGACAAACTTCATGCTTCCCGAAGTGCTGCATCACGGGAAGAACACGAAAGGCAGAAGCCAGCAGAAAGCAGTGCACCCTCACTACATTACGCCCTTTCCAGCAGGACTCTGCTAGCACTCTCATGAATGAGCAGGGAGGCTGAAGAGGAGCAGATGGGAGGAAAAGCCAACATCTCTCTGGCACGGACAGCCAGCCACTAGTTAACCCATTCGGAGCCTGCCACAAGGACTGCTATAAGCTCCATATAAGCTATCATGGAGCTGCAGCAAAGCCACACCTACCAGGTTGCTCCAGGCAGCAGACCCACCTCTTGCTGCTGGGGGGAGCCTCGGTGAGCTGGTGGCACTGCTTACATGGGTGCCCGCAGTGAGGGACAGCTGTGCACTTGTCCCGCAATCTGCCTCCAGACTGTGTTTCACACAGATGTGTCCCTGTTTTCATCTTCACCATTCTTTCCTCAGTGTTACATATCCTTGTAGAAAACAGCACACAGAAATACAGGGGAGGCCATTGAGAAAGCATCAACACAGTTCATTCTGGAGATATCTATAAATGCATTTCAGCTAAGGAACAACTGTGCTGCACTGCAGTGTGGTGAGATTCGGTATATGGAAAATAGAAATCCAGCCAACAAATTTACACAATAAACACCAATGTGTACTGTCCCATGAAGACCAAAAACCAAGAAACCAAATAGACAGTATCCAGTATGCAATGACTCTTTTTTTCCCTAGAAAAACTACAGAGCTATGAATTCTACATACGCAATTTATGTTGGAGAATGTCCTGGAAGACCCCAAGGCACCATTCACAGAAGCAACCTCATCTGTCCTGAAGTACAACCACTTACCAGATGGAACATAGCAACCATCCAGAACAGAAACATCACACAAGCTCTTGTAAGGCTTTCACTCACTGGATGGAATACCTTTGTAAGTAGGGTGCACAGATTTGTGCAAATGGGAACTGAGTTAGGATAGAGACACCGACGACTTACCATCATGGTGAAAGCAGCCATAGTTTTAGTAACAGGAATGAAGAGACTGTTATAAATGTCAGTCAAACAGTCAAGAGTGTGGTTCACCAACATTTTGAGAACACTGTTTCCACATCTGATCAAATGGAGACCAGTGGGTCAGCAGATTCAAAGCAGCTGATTCTCTGAAACCACCGAGGTCCTTTAGCAACGCAAACCAAACAGATTAGATCCTAAAAATCTCATAAAATCTAACAAGATCAGATACTAACACAGCGTAGCCATAAATCCAGCAAGTTGTTAATGAGAACTTAAAACAGGAAGATACATTTTCCTCTATAGAAGTAGATACTTGCACTGCAGTGGAGCAACCCCATTAAAACCAATAAGGATGCCCAAGCACAGCTGAAAGTTGAAGCTGTGAAAAAGGATTAATAAAGGGAGATCACAGAGCTCAGATACAAAAGTGATGGGGATTTCCCAGATAAGCCTTCTTTGCCATCACTTAGCTCTTTTTCCGGAATGTCTGTGCCTCAGACACCTGTTCCTCACTTGTGCCTCTACAGCACCTGGAAAGTCCCCTACAGGCACTCCTGGAAAAACAGACAACTTCTGGGGTTAGGACATGATTCAGCAGAGAACCAGGAAGCAAAGAGTGGAAAGGCAATGGGCAGCTTTCACGCTTGTTTCTTTCTGCTTGTGACAGAAGTGGGTGACAGAAAGAAAGCACAATGTGATTTGAGAAATACTTTTGCCTTCTTCATAAGCTGGGATCACACAGCAACCAGCAAGCTCTCAGCGCAGTAGCAGTTTATTCTCTAAACTGAGACTCGCTCTCCTTCCTCACTTCTATCCTGCTTCTTTGGCAGATTATTTTTAACTTGCTCTAATTTGTCACACCACCAACAGCTGTCCTGATGCAACTGATGCAAAAAGTAGCCTCATGCAGAAGGACTAGACAAACATGAGGACTACTGCGCCAATTAAAGAAAAGTCCATCATTTCTAGCACAAGCAGGAGTCAGCAAGGCCAACAAGACTTGCCTTTGCCCCAAAGGTAGGTAAAGTGCTAGCTTATTTCCACATATTACCACTGCATTAATTTTCCTGCTCAACAGTCTACTGTATTAAAATAGGCAGGAAAAGTTAGCAGTTGGGTAATCAGGCCAAGGCCGTGGAATTCTGTTTTCAAAACAACAACAACAAAATATGTTACGATACACAGAGCCAACGAGGGCAAGAAGCACTCAGTAAAAGCATCACTGGAGCAAAGCCACTGCTCTATGGGCCAGAGAGACCAGGCAGGGCACAGCAAGGACACGCTTCTGCTATCAGACCGCAGAGACAGGCAGCAGAACAACTGTCCTTGTGTTCTCCTGGTTTTATATGTCATCTGCAACTCTCCTTTCAGTTTCAGTATTTATTTTGAGTTGGTTTTGCTGTATTTCTTGTTTGTCTTCCATACATGTGACTTCCTTCCATCTCACCACAAATTTCTACCAAATAAAACCATATGCACTGCCATAGCAACATTGTAATACAAACACAGAGTAATCTTTGTTCATGAAGTACACAGTTGTTTTTTTTTTCTCTCTTATTAACAGAATCTGCAACTGCATACATCAATGTCATGGCAACAACATAAACACAGATTCAAGATATTCTTTCTTCAGAGGGAGGAAGAATAAATGTTTTCAAGAAAAGTGTGTGGGATTTAAGGAAGCAGGATGAAATGTTTGTGACCAAATAGGGATGAAGTTACATCATCACAGCTGTGCACTGCTCTTTGAAGCCTGCTCTGGTAAGATGTAACACATTCTCAGCTCCTACAGGCGACAACAGAACACACCCCACCTGGCAGGCCATGTCTAAGCCACAGCTGTCCCCACACAACACACAGGTGAGACTTCCCATCAGTGTGAAGGTGAACCCAAGCATTCATGCACTTTTTTAGACTAGATGAGGTCTCCTGCCCTGTGAACAGCTCTACTCCCAACACAAGGTGAAGCCGTGCTGTGTTGTCAGGTAGCAAGGCCTGCTCAGCTCTCTCAGGCAGCAGTTTCTGAGGCACAATCCTTTTTCCCCTCTATAGAACAATTCCCAAGGGACATGAATACGGTAAAACCTAGAATTTGGGTGTGTTCACTTAAAACTCAGCTTCTGCACTGACAGGAGCATGATGCTGTTTGCCCATGACAGTTCCATGACTTATGCCTCATACCGCAGGAAGTTATACAAAAAAGGAAAAGAACCAAGTTCTCCCATATGACTGACTCAACCCCACTTCTCAGCTATTGCTATGCCCTTAGCTATGTGCTATTTTTGTTCCTTGGTTTGTGAAAGGGATGACTTCATTAAACATTCCTCTTTTTTTTTTTTTTAGCAGCATGTTCATTGAGTACAAGAGGCTTTACTCTGCTTTGTAAGCCAATGGCCCTTCAGTTCAGCATGCTGTGAGTGCTCAGGGCTTCAAACCTGAACAATCTAAACATTAACAGTGCCATAACACCACATGGAAATAGCTTGTTCTTTTCTGGGACAAGCAGTTTATAGAGGAAAACAAATGAGTGAGCATAGTAGGCATAAAATCAAGCACTCAACACAAGCTTGAGCTGAATGACGAAGATTAAAATATCAACACAGGGTTTCCATTCGCAGACATCATCTGCACTAAATCAAATAGGAGTCCTGTACTGGAATCCCATGATAGCATGATTGTGATCCCATGCTTTCCAAATGGATTGAAGTCTTCCAAACAGCCTCAGCTGTGTCTTAAATTTCAACTGCTTAACCAGAAATTCAAAAGTATGTTTAAGATGGTTATGTCTCTTGGGGAGGGATTAAAAACTTCTAATTGCCTACAAAGGTATGTAAGAGTGGATAAACCTTGATTAAATCACTAACTGTATCATTATGATGAATGATGATTCTTGCAGGACCTGCACCAGTCAACTGTCATCACTAAAGCTGGAGCAAAAACCATTATTTTGAATCAGTTTTATATTAATTAAAAAAAAAAAAAAAAAAAAAAAGAACTAGCTAAACTGAGCCAGAATATTCTGATTCCATTTTGGCTTGCATTTGATGAATGCCATACTCAACAAAGTGTAACTGTTACAAAAAGCAAAACAAAAAAAAAACAGTGATACAATAACGAATGGCAAATGCACTGTATTAACATGGACTTTTACTCTCAGTTCAGATCTGGAAGATGGCTCATAGCTTTGTTTGTCAAATGTCATTTCCAGCAACCATTCTATGAACAGTACTTTAAAATGCTTAGGATTTTCTCTAAGGTAAGAAAAGATTCACATCTGTAAGAGAGATTTAACAGCATCTTCATTTAAAAACAAATTAGGGTTGTGTTCTGACTCCCATGGGAGTTTAAACTGGATTTATATGAGAAAACACAATGTGGGGAAACCCTCTCATTTTTATCAACGAAGACCTCCATGAGCACAGGAAATAATGCAAATCACATCTATCACAGATCTGTGTTCCTCAGCCAAAGACTAATCACAATCATCCGCAGACCAACATGAATATCTGCAGCACTCCCATTCCCCTGCATGCTCCAACTGCACAGAACCACCACAGTGCTACTCCAGACGAAACATTTCCTGGCAAATGAACCGTGGCAGTTTTGCTGTTCTGCTCTTCTATAGGTGTTAATATGAATGGCTTCAAGAGCGGTTTAAAGTAATTTGTGGCTACCAAATGAGCATGCAATAATCACTGACTAGGAAAAGCTTATTCACTTCCACTGAACTGAAAAAATATGAAAGCAACACCTATAGCTAGGAATTGCAGTCCTTTAAATAGGGTTAAGAAAACAAACACTGAAACAAGATGTGGGCAGAAGCCCAACAATGATTAAAAAAGAAAACAGCGCACAGGTGGCTACTGCCAGGAGAGGAGAAAAGCTTCCCTGTTTTATCAGAGCTTGCAAAACAAACAGAGGAAAAAGCACACAGTGTCCCTGTGAGGAGCAGCAGTACGTGCCTACCAAGATCTAATGTTCTTTCCAAACCTCATTAGCTGAATATAGCTGTGAACAATAATTTAATAACAATTTGTCTGCAAAGGCGTGAATAAACTTCTACACAGCTCTTGAACATCTCAAAAATCTCTTCTAGGTATGGCTGGCAAGGACCAGACAAGCTGGTGCTGAGGTATGGGTGGAGCCTCTGGGAGCCTGAGCTCTTCTCCATATTGCTGTCATAGCCCCCTGAGACCTCAGCATGACTTCACTGCTAGGTGCTGGATTTTTATCTGCAATGTCAGTTCCGGCTTTCTATCTGCAACGTCAGTCACTGGCTTGTGACTGACAAACCATCTCCATGGGAGCTGTTGGTCAGAGCATCCAGCCTTGCACTCAGGTGGCTGCCCAGTGGGCATCCCTTGCACCACCTTTAGTCACAAAGGTGACAGCCTCAAGCAGGGGGCAAAATGAAGTGGCAATGATGGCAGCAACCACCTCATGGAGCTGTTTGCCATGTAATCATGTGCTGATGACTTTGCAAATGCTTCGAAAGTTTAGTTGGTATTTCAGTATTTGCACTACCAGGCTTCAGTAGGTAATTTCCAGATGCAAAACATCAGCACTTATAAAAAGTTCAGTGCATCAGCACTAATGGCACTCTGTGGACTCACTTCTATTTTATTTTTTAAACTGAGGCTAATTTAGAAGATGAAGCATGCCACCCCCCAAAAAAGTGCAACTTGCTCTCTCCTTAACATGAGGCAGGATGCAACCAAGCATAAAAAAAAAAAATCTACTGCATCAGGCACCCAAAACGTTGCCGCAGAAGACTGAAGTCCAAATTAAAGAAAGATCACATGCAGCAGCTTTACATGATGAAGAAATACTCTAAAAGAAAGTTGATCCAATGAAACACTAGATTTTATCAGTAAGTTGAAGTACTGTGACTCAAATCCACAGATAAACACAAATATGCAGTATTTACACTTTTAGAAATCTGACATTGAGGTGCTATGATAAAAAGAAAAAATACACATTGTTGAAGCCAACTTGGAAACTTTACATTTGGGCTATTGACTCAATAGAGATACATGGACAAAGGGGTGCTATGCAGTAAAATCAGCAGATTTTTCTGGAACCAGCCACTCCCAATCTCTTTATTTACATACCTAAATATGCATTCTAAATCCAAAGTCAGGGAGGCAGTTTGGAAGTGCTGCCTTAAGTGAAGCAAACCAAACCGAACCTCAGAGAAAATCAGTTGTGCAAAAAAGATTTAATTAAATAAGGAAATATAAAAGGCTCATCCCACCCTCTTCTCTCATAGAACTGTCATGAACTCTCCCGAATTTCTCCTTCTTCCTCAGAAGAAAGGGACGAACTTCCACTGTCCGAGTCCTCCGCAGATTCACTGGCCTCTGAGGATGTAGGACACAAAACAAACAAACAAACAAACCATTAAGCCATTAGTTTCAGCGATTTCTTTTTCCAGTTTGCTCACACAGAAGCAGTGTTTTCATTATTCTTTTCCTTCTAATCACAGTTTCCTCAAGGATAATTATTTCATAAGGCGGAACCATCTCAATAGAGGATACCGCCCTGCAAAGGGCCTTGTTGCTGAAGGAGGAAGCAAGGTAATGTTAGGGATTCTTTTAGGTTTTAAATCTCAGTCTCTCAGTCAAGCAGCTAAGTAGAATATTCATCCCATACAAAATTTTTCATCTACTGAGTTCAAATTGTTCTCTTGATTTGTTTTAAATGTTGTTTTTGGGGTTGCTACATAAACGTATTACAACTGTAATGAATTATAAATCATTAGCAGTTTTGTTAGGCTTCCAGTTAAGATGGGAAACTATTGAGAAATTCTAAATGGACAATTAAGATGAGGCACATATGTGCTCCTTCCTCATATTCCAGCATCCCAAAGATGGTGTCAAGCTGCATGAATCCATGAGCTAAGGCTGATGAGGTTAAAGCTGCACAGTAACTTGTGCTTTAGGACAGGCTGCTGCGTTCTGTTGAGCCCACATCATGAAGCAATCATTTCCCAAACTGGTCTTAAGCCATGCATCCCGAGAACCCTTCCTTAATGAGCACTGACTCCTGTCACCTCGCGGTGAGGTCACCAAATGCCACTGGTTGGTGGCACTCAAGTAGCACAAAAATAAACTACAGCCAAGTAGGCACGCGATTCACATGCTGCTCTCATTGATATTTTCAGCATTTGATCCAAATAGGAATTCAAAGACATTTTTGAGCATTTAATGTCAGAGGCTTCATTAGGAAACGTTACTCAAAGGGAACTGATGAAACACAGTTACTGTCTTGTCTGGATTGGTTCTACATCTGGCAAACATGGATAATACACAGGACACAGCATGCACCTGTACAGTTTCAATGGAATTTGTACAAGAAAATAGAAGCACTTCACCCAGAAACATCAGAGGTCACATTTTGTCTACATTAAATCTAGTGTATAATCAATTAACATTTATATGCCAGATATGTACGGAGTAATGCACAAAGTAAGGATTATTTTTGCCCCTAAGCCCTGTGAAAACTTCTATAATCCCCTACTATCTTCAGCCATGACTGACCTTGTATGCTGAAATCAGAGCACCTGTATTTTTTGCAATGAGCAAATCAGGCATCAAAACACTGCATGAAAGAATGTGGCAATCTCCTGCCTCGCAAAGAACCTCAACACACAAATCTTCACTTTGATTTAGCCTGTTATAAGTTTTATTTAACATATATATAGATTGCCTGCACTCAAAAAGAACATGTTTTTTTTTTTAATCTTGATAGCATTGCCTAAGATTGCCCAGTCTTTGCCATCATAAAACTCTTGGCAGTTTACTCAATGTAAAATTTGAACTCTAGGTTTAAATTACTTGCAAAAATTACTTGCAGCCAGGTCTGTTTTGCTTAACAGTCTTCCTCACAAAAGGTAAAACAACCGAGTGTTGCCACATTCTCCTTTACTCTGTAAGGGATCTTAACACAAAACAGGAGCTTGATGACGGTGACACACAGCTACAGAAGAGAGTTTCTTGTCTAAAAATAACAGTGACATAAAGCCCCCTCCCACTCTGATGTTCTGAACATGCTTTTCCTGAAAGAATCTGGAGGACTGGAAACTTGGGAGAATTCAATACCAGAAAAGAAAGTGCTTGTTTGCAATACCCTGTCTGTGCCATATGCCTAAATACACAGCCAAGCCAGAGCAACTACAGTGTAAAATGCTTAGCTTCCATGTATAGGATCCTAAGAAGCACTAAAGGGAAGAGGGAAAGCTTACAAACACACACAAAATATCTTCAATATTCCTAAGCTAAAAACCTCACTAGAACACACAATTTGCAATGTTCTGCAGGTCACTATTCACTTCTATTCTGATTCATTGTTACTACTTGACCAGAAGTATCAGAAATATAATTGTTCTGCCAAGGCAACTTTCAAATGTAACATTTCTGTTGGCCGGACAGAAAAGTAACATCCTCCACAAGTCAAACTTTAAGGCTTCATGAAAAAGACGAAAATGGAAAAAAAGAAAAAGAAAAAAAAAAAGAAAAAAAAGATTGGAAAGACAGAGGTTTTTGTTTTTTGTTATTTTTTTTTTTAAGATTATATAATCCTGTTGAGATACTTGCATTTTTAACATCCAGAGATGGTACTTTTGGAAAGCAAATGATCTTACAGCAAATATTCAATATGGGTTGAAATGAGTGTGATATGACAACAGTTGTGAAAAATCTGGTTATTTTTGCTATTAGCTATCATGTCTTCCTGCCACAACCTGAACACCTCAACATGTGCTCAAGTGTGATGGAATTTACAGAACGGTTACTAAAGCAAAATAAGAAAATTAATGCTTCCCAAAACCTGCAGTAGTTGCCAATATTCCCTGAATACCAGCTTCGTGGATGAGGGCTAAGTGAAGGATCCCTGCAGCAGAAGATGCATCCTTGCACTGCACTGGGTCGAAGAGCTATCTGCATCTTCCCAGCTATCAGCTCACTCCCCTCACCCTTCTTGCTCCGCATTCATACAGAACCACTCAGTCACTCATTCACCACTTCTTGGTGTCTGTGCCCTTACACACACAACCCCTCCGCCAGCTCCAGAGGTGATAATGACAGCCACACAGGTCAGATTGAGTTTATGAGTCAATCAGTTCTAATTCCCTCCCGATATCTAAATCGCAGGCATAGGGCTGACTACCTTTTGGTAGCAAGGGACCTAGATGTAGAAACAATGGATAAACCAAGGAACCTAGTTTCTGTGTATAGCAGTAAATCCATATGCAATGCTAGGGTGGACATCAGCAAATCAAGCTGCTTAGACAAGACTCCTGTCTCATTCCTTGGCACGCTGTCTCACTCTCTCCTGCAGTTCATAGCACAAGAAACGTCCACGTGCAGTTTCTTGCACAGCAGATCTCTGCAACAGATCACTCAGTGAAATCCAGCCAGAACTGTGAAGATCCATGGACATTTGATACCACGGTACAATATCATTAGTCTCAGATGTATTCAGTCTCATTATACACCTACAGATCTGTGATTCAGTTGCTGCAGGGAAACAGTAACAGCCAACTGATTTTGAAGCTTTTCTGATAGGGTGACCCATCACTGAAAAGTATGCGATTGGATGGCTAAGTTGACAACTAACTGGGACTCAAAGCTGAGACACAGACTCAGGGATAAATATGAAAATGAACTTCAAAACTAAAATACAAATTTCTGCTAGACCTGGACTGCCCACTAAGCTAATTTCAACATCAAAGCTTTTCCTCAACTAAACACTTCACAAAATAACAGTGCTTTATCCTACCCAAGAAAGCTGCTTTGCTATTACCATTTCAATAACTGTACTATAATTGAGGATTATTTGTCCAATTTCAGGAGTTACACTGGGAAATCACGATGATTCCCTTTTCTGGAGTAGGCTGACTTACAACTAATCTTCCCCAGATCAACATTTTAGAAACAAACAACTCTGCTGAAATGCTATGCACAGAATTTAGCCTGCATTACCTTAGTGGCTAAAATTATACAAAAAGGGATGAAGCACCAGTAAACAAACTTAGGACAAACACATACAATACTGCTTACTGATGCAAGCTGTCAACTTTAACATTTACGACAGAACATTTATAGCAGCTTTTTTATAGCAATCTTTTAGATTCCGAGGGAAATAAATACAAGACGTACAGTACATTCCTGGCATTAATAATGGGTGTATCCTTGATTATTGTTTATTCAACTAAAACATCTAAGTATAGCATAACAGGAAATAAATATATGCTTACCTTGGCCAAGAACCACCATGTCATTCTTCAATTTTTTCAAGACCACAAATAACGTTGGGTACTCAATTATTACTTTGTTTTTCAAATTTTCTAGGAGGCTTCTACTGGCATCCAGTTCATTGTACCTTAAAAATAACAGGAAAGTTTATTTTGGATTTTAATACTACCAAGAACATAACGTACACTTTCTAAAAAAAAAAAGAACAAAAAAAGTTTTCTGGCAGTTCATAGGATTTTCAGATGATATCATGCTCAGAAGAACTATCTTATGACTCAAATCACATATTTGGGCTTATTATCCAACCACATTCATTTTATTTTTAAACCCTTCTAACACCTAAGAGCAAGAGGAAAACTGAAATCAAATTGCTTTACAGGCTAAGATTTTTCCAGAGTTCTTAATGAATATCTTAACCAAAATCAGGTTCTAAACTGAAACTAAGACTTACTGTTCTACTTGTTTTCCCTCTCAGTTACTCTTAGAATACGTTTAATACACGTGTGTGCTTCTCTTTTTTCATGCTTACTGGCTTTTTAACACTACAGGTTTAATTTATATGGTTAATAATATATCCTATGACGTTTGCTTATGAATTATCATTTAAGTTTTGGAAAGACAGAATAAAAAGCATACATGGTCTACCACTAAAGCAAAGGAACACCAGAAGAGCTCTGTTTTAGTAGAAGTAAGGCTTGTTTACCCAGGTAAGACAGCAATGACTGCCACTGGAGCACTCATTTTCAGCAGACGGTACAAAACCTCTGCTTGCAGCACCAACTGCAGGAAACCCCAGCAAAGAGCTGTGCATCTATGTGTGCTACAAGAGGCACATGACTCAGTTGCACAGCCCTGACCCACAGAAGAGCTCCTCTTCACCCTGAAGGGTGAAGCCAGTTTTAAATAGCCATATTAGTAAACATAGTAAAAACTACACTGAACATCTTCTCGACAATTACATCCTAGAAATGTAATATTCTCTCTCATCTCTGTAAGAGGAAACCTGGAATCTTGGGGAAAGCAAGCGCTATTTCAAAACCCTCTTTACAACAGAAACCCTGTTTCTTTCACTTGATGCAACCGCAGCATCCAACAAGTGCTCTGATATTACACTACAATCTGAGTTATGCAATTCTTTCCGTAATCAGGATTATTCAATTACTATTAAGCCACTGTATCACTTAAAGCCAAAAAGGTAGTTCTGAACCAAAACACACTGTGGGCAATAAACTTCACATAGCTGCTCTGCCTTCTCTGATCATTTATATATTATGCAGTTGGGCTTTCTTTTGTCATTCTACTTCCAAAGCAAAAACAAATAAACAATAAAGTCAATAAAAAAAAATCTCACGAAAAAACATAGAAAACCAAAAACCACTGGATAGGTGAAGGGAATGTATCCTTCCTGATTTTCAGTAATGTGTGATAAAGACCTGTACATCAGAGGAATCAGTAGACAACATTACTGAAGGCAAAACAGGATTTTAGTTCTCTGGATTTCAGAGAAACATAGTTTGAACAAAAACTATTTTTCTCTCAAATTCAACTTCAAATCATCATGAAAATATTTGGTTTCATGTTTCTCTCAACCCAAAGAGATTAAGACCTGTTCTTAGAGAAACCCTTTAACAGGGATAAGAGTATATTGCATTTCTTACTGAATGAATATATCCATAACTTATGGATTAATACACATGAGGAGAAATATATTTACTGCTTTATTTACAGTACTCTAAATGCAAAGTATGGCAATACCTTTCCTTTGGCAAGAACTTCAACACATTCTTTTCTGATTAAGCAAACATTTACCACTAAGAGGCTAAACTAATTCACATGCCACAATACACTTTCCATTATCTCATGTTTTAGACAAAACATCTTTAGCGTCCAGCTTGGCATAAGATAAAACATTTGTCCTTAGAACCATTTTATGGTAGTAAATTATTAAAGCGTTAGATCACTAAGTCAGAGCTTTATCTTTTTTGTTCTTAAAGTATATTTTATTGGTTGGCAATGGCAGAGAAAAAATCCACATGTTTAGTTCATAATCTGTGCTGCAAATTTCAGGGAGAATATAACAAAGAGCCTAGAGCTTCTTGTTCTCAGATTTACTAGTTTGTGTCTATTCTATCCAGAGACCCCAGTCCCTCCTTCCTTTACACACAAACACACGCTGAGGTTTTATGCTAATCCACCTGTCAGCCACTTCCTTCACTGAACACGTTTATGATCTTGAAAGAAAAATACCTGTCACTCAATTCCAGTCAAACACAGGATGGTTCTGCTGAGCAAGACTGACTTTTCAGGTTCTCTCTGACAGACTTCATCACAATGAAAACCTCCCCAATTTATCAAAGAATTATAACAGTCGTACCACAGTTGGGTGAGCAGCACAAGCCTCTAGCCATGAGACCGCCTGTAATAGAGCTTTTCCAGAAACTTGACCTCACCACTTCAATTTTTTATTGTGAAAAGGTTAGAGCTGCTTGGAGAAAAACCAAAAAGCACGAATCCTAAAACAGAAACAGAACAGCCTCTTACAAGTCACACACCACAATGTGGTCAGGAGCCGAACACGCAGACACTGGTGTCAGAACAGGGCCAAGGCCTCACCACAGACAGGGTGGGCAAGGCTGGCACAGTGTGATGAAAACTTGCGTCTGGCATTCTTGCTCTCACCATGTTTACCTGCTTGTCCTGTACCACTAGGACTGCCTAGCCTGCCAGTAAGAACCTACACCAGGCTGCAACTTGTTTCAGGCCCTTCAAGTTCAAACCTATGTGTGATGCATCACAAGCCTGAAGTGTAAATTTGGAAAGAACCAAGTAATACACACAGTTTTTTTTCTTAACTTGTGGTTACACATGCTGCTGCAGAGCATCTTTCCCACTCTGGCACTGAACACAGACTGCTGGTCCCCTCTGCCTCACACAGCTTCACAGTTCCTGCACTCAGACAGACCTCTCTTTACCTCCTCCCTGGATCTTTGTCCCTGGTATTTACCTGCTACACGCTTCCTCTGCCCCTTCCACTCACTCCCTCAGTTTCTGTGTCCAACTTACCTAATGTACTTTCCTGAATATTTTCCTGCCCTAAGCAAGGCTTTATGCCCTTGTCACAAAGTAGGGAAATGGCCTGAATTTTTTCTTCAGAAGATTCCATTTATAAGGACCACAAAGAGACGATCTTGGCAGACAACAGCTTTTGGTTTTAGCTGGAATGAAGTAACAATAACGGCTTTTTAAAAGACAAAAATTAAACAAAAATTGCCTGCCAGCAGGCAGTTTAAAAGCCTACAAAAATTGAGACAACTGAGAAAATTTAACAAGATTCAGCAATCCTACATCTGTTCCCTTAGAATCTTTTGTGTTTCTTCTATGCATTGCTTTGCTACTTTTAACACATTGCTGAAGTGAATTGTGGCTCTGCACTTTTGCTAGCACCTGCAAACTTCTGTAAAGGGTAATTTCACTATCTGTAGCTATTCTACTACCTTCCAGGAATTCAAAAATTCAGCCTCCTAATCTGTCTCCCACACACAGGAATGCTATATTAGGTCACAGCGTCACAACAAACTCTCTCAAAGGGAGCCCTGGGCTATCATTCACTGGTGCAACTTGTCTCCACGAATTCAGACGGCAGGAAATTCCCTGCTGATCAGGTTTTCCTGAATGTCATCTACAGGAACTTTGATTTTAATAATAGAGAAAAATCTGCAATCTGGAATTAAAGATAAATTGTAACCATGTTATTTCTTTAATTTAGTCTTCTAGCTACTGGAAAGAGAATAAAGAAGTTTTTTTTTACCAGTCTAAATAATTACAAACATCAGTAAAATAGATGTTTGCATAACGATGTTCCTAACTTTCCTGAGAGAGATATCAGCTAAAACTTTTATTCACATTTTAAACAAAGATGATTTTTCTTCCTAGAATTGAGTGGAAACATCAAAATATTTCCTTTGCATAATTCAGATACAACAAATCATGTTTATCTACTTCAGGCCAAATCCTAAAAATCCACAATATTCTGCTAATTTATGAGAAGAACGAGCATTCCTCCCCCCCTTCAATGTCCCCAGGCAAAGGAGGGCAGCATTTTCTATCTGCATTTGCCTAGAAGAGAGCAAAGACAGAGTACAGCTTTTAGAGGCTCTCCCAAGCACTCATTGTGAAGTGCTGTAGCATAGCAAAGATAATAGCTACCAGATGGACTTTCATTCCTAAGTGGTGAATAACCTCTTCGTGTGGTTATGATTTGGTGAACATGGAAGTAGTGAAATGTACTCTTGAATTAGATATGAAAGGAAAGTTATATGGCAGAAAGTAAACATGACGTACTGAAATAAAGCAGACTTTTAATATTTAACTTTGTCACAACTCTGACATTCTAAAAATCTAGAACAGCATTTTTTTTTTTAGTCCATATGCATGGAAAAGGATTAGAAAATTCAGTAAGAAAAAGGGCAGTCTTAAAAAAAAAAAAAAGAAGAGAAACAATAAAGAAAATTACTTGCAGTAATACTTCCTTTGTAACATAATTCTTAACAACAGCAGAACAATGCAGAAGTCTCTACTTTGCCTGAACGCTCTTAAGAGATGGGGAACAATCTAATTCAACTTAATATTTTAATACAAAAATTGTAATAGTGTTTACACTGATATTTTAAAACCTCTAAGCTCCTCCTTTCACTCTTCTCTATGGTTTCCCTCCTAGTGGAGAATCTCCACAGTCAGCCTTACCCATGCACAGTTTAATCCATACCAATACAGTTAAGATGCCTGAACAATCCTTTTTCAAACCAGATCACCATTTTCAGCAACACCTCTATCACAGCACAGTAATTTTTTCTTCTTTTCAGAAAAAAGGAAATACTAGGACAAGAAGCAACCTCTTCTTACCAGCATTACCAGCCCACCTGTCCTGTTGGGAAGCAGCTGAAAAAGCATAGGAAGAAAAGCTGCCAGTACACCAAGAAAAGCATCACACCAAGAAAAGCATCTCAGACTTCATCATCAACTCCTAACTACACCTATATACAGAGAATGCAAAAAGGCACATAACAGAAAATATGACATTGTTCCTTTTCATTCCTATATTTTAACCATAGGCCGTCTGTACACACA